TCCAGGCAAACCAAAGCTCTGTTGTTGGCTCTTAGTTAGATGTCTAAGTCATCTCAGCGGCCGCTCGGCTGGCTGCGCTGAATTCGTAACCTATATCCTATTATTCTTATCCTGTGCCAGCTCGACGATGTCTACCAATCAACGTCGCCCGGTGAATGGGCAAGGCTTGATCTGTTAAGCCACCACTACACCGCCCACCCAAGCCTTTGCCCAGTCCGTCAGGTGCTTGGAATGCTGTCGAAAATATAATTGTCGGAAAATAAGTTGTCGGAAAATAAATTCTGACCCATCTTCAGAATCAGAATCATATCCAGAACTGCAAATGTGGTCATCATATCTGCAGCCTTGTCAATTGGCTCAAATCAAATGCATGCACTACGTTGTCAGTCTGCCGATGTGACGTTTGAGTCGTGCATCTTCACTCGATGTTGCAAACTGATTCAGAAGTACCGGTATGTCCTTTGCTAGAGTTTTGGCAGACTCCCATGAGTCTTCGATTGGCTTCAAACCTTTCCGGTTAGCGAGGATGTCGTAGTCCTTGTTTAGAAAATTCCATTTGTAGTCTAGAAGCTCATTAACTGCAAGGATTTGATCCTGAGCAGCTACATGCTCACGTATTTCCTCTGTGATGTGCAGCGAGTTGTCGGCATAGAACTTCATGCGCGAGGGGTGAACGTCCGTCTCCTCTCCTGTCACAAGATGTCGTACCACGAAAGAGTGTACGTCTGCTCGCGTAATCTGATACGGTCCTATCCATGTAGCTAGTAGTTTTTCTTGATGCTTCTGGTCCACCCTTGACCTCAACACGTAATCACCCACGTCGAAATTTGGTCGCTGTGCGTGTTGGTGACGCCGCTGGCTGCGCTCTGTCTGTTGATCACGTGCAGCAATCAGCGGTTTGTGCATTGAACGAATACTAGACCTCATTGCTGCAAGCCACGGTTCAATGTTCTCCGGCTGCTCAGGTAATGGCAGTATTTTCTTCTGTTTGGTATCCACACAAAAATCTAGGGGAGATGGAAGCGGTAGTCCATAAAATAACTCCACCGGAGCTTTGTTTCCCAGCGACGGGACAGGTGTATGATTTTAATTTCCTTGCAGCATTGGAACAAAAAAGGTCCAATCATGAGTGTCCACCTCGTATTCGAGGCCCAACATTCGATTCGCCGTCGATGTGTTCAATTTCATATCGATACTCAGCAATTTTTGTTGCCCACCTCAGTGGTTTACCACGAATATGTCTTTTTACCTCCACGCCAGGTGCAAACACATAGATTAGGTTTTTATGGTCACAGAACAGCTTAAACCCGCCAGGTCGCAACAGCAAGTAGCTCAGTCTATCGCACGCACAAACTAAGGGGTAAGCTTCCTTTTCGATTATACTCCAATGGCACTTTGAGCCTGTAAATGTTCCGCTCAAGCATGTGAGAAGCTGGTATTGCTGGTGGTGTACGGGCTCACCGGCTTTTTAGTCGCTAGCTTGGGTTACTATGAGACTCCAGCCAACATCACTAGCGTCAGTCATCACACACACATTCGCATTTTCCTGATGAAAAGCGAGTGTCACACTTTGCTCCAGCAGTATTTTCATTTCATCGTAGGCCGTTCGTTGTTCTGCGGTCAAACAAATTGCAATTCCAGCAACAATTCGTTTCGAACGTTTCGTGGCGCTGACTAGCGCTGCATCTAGTGCATCTTGGAGGGGTCTTGCTCTCCTAGCGTAGTCTATCAAACTTTCACGCATCCAGTCTGTTGCACACAGAAATTGCTGCAATTCACCAGCAGTTCTCGGGTATGGGAGGTTCTGCAATGAGCGCACACGTTCTGGATCATGACGCACTCCAGAGCCTGAAATAATTTTCCGTGATGCAAGAAACCTTAATGGGGCAACTCAATCGTGTTGAACTACCGCCAGCCAAGTCTGGGGGCGTGGTGAGTGGCCCCAAGAACAATGCTTAGCACGACCACGGGCTTGGCTTCAGATCATCTTGAGTGATAACTCCTTTGTTGACTGCGCCGTTTGTACTGGGTAGTCCTCGAAGCAGCTACTCGACCATCGACCAAGCAACTTGATAGCCAAGCTGTTAGCGTCTCCATTCAACAGAGACGCTGCGCCGCCAATCCGAATGGAATGGGTAGAGCAGTTCTCCTCACGAATCCCAATAGACGCCGCTAGCTTTTTGAATGTCCTCGTCACTTCCTCTGCTTCCAAAACTACACAGAAATGCAGGGCATCCTCTCGTCCGAGTTCACTTCTCGCTTGTCTTATGTGTCTAAGCGCCACTTTTTGGCACAGCCATCCGTCCCCGGTTGCGAGCATTGTTCTCCACGCACCTCTGCCGTACTGACCATTCTTCGCGCCTGACAGTCCGATGGTCACTGACACTGCCATACGATATGGGGTTCTCACTCCATTTTCATTTGAAAAGAATGCATCCGATGCTTTTAGGCAAAATGATCTCCGTTGCGTTCCCATTCGTAGAAATTCCGATCTTCTTGAAAGAAGTAAGCCAGCAGAACGGAGCCTCACAAAAGTCGAGTCCGGGGCCTAGATAAGTCGAGGCGCCGGTGCAGCAGACGCAAAAATGCCGGGCTGATAGGCTGCTTCTTCAGAGTCGGGTCGGACAAGCGCTTGATTTCTCGCATTAAGATGACTAGTGAAGGAGACGACTCCACTAGAAAATCCCGGAATCGCTGCTGATACCAGCGAACACTCGATAGTTTCAACTGAATCGTCATATACTTATTCCCTCGGTGGCAAGAATTCCAGCCGTATCTCCAGCAGTATATAGCGAATAGGCCGGGTCTTGAACTCGCTTGTGTGGGCTCTTCGTCGAGCCACGGAGACCATCTCATCCATCCGGAGAATCGGCACCACTGGTTCCTGTGAGTCCGGTATTTGGCTGAGGTAAGCTCTGTGATGGCGCGTCTCTGGAGCACTGCGCCCATAGCTTCGAGAGATCGTCGAAGGGCGGACGAACTTGCACCTGTCTCCATGCACACGACATGTTAGTCCACATCTCGAACAAGGGGTGGTCCGAAGGCCAGGCTCGTGATCCGGCGTCTGCCATGGTGTTCTCCTCGCCTGCCACGTGCTTGGCCGTGCACAGGATGGCATACGTGAACTCCGCCAGTGACAGTAGCCGGTTGTATAGCCGAGCGAGAGGCTGTCGGCTATTGCGCCGCTGCGTCCACGACACTGCATTTGTGCTGTCGATCCAGCAGCGTACGTGGATCAGTTTGTGTGGATACATTCGAACCCACGTTGGGCCTCAATGTAGCACCACCAGCACCGCACTTTGGAGCTCGCGAACGTTAATAGAATTCACAGAGACGTCGTCTATGAATGCTGCCTGCTCTTCAGCGGTGAACTGTACGCGAATAAACTGGTGGAGTGTCGGTTCAAGGGCGCATAGACCGTCATTTGAGGCATCCATGTGCACGTGCACTATGGGATTCGCCACGTGGCGAATTGACCGACAGGAATGCCATTGAATAGCTCGTGCTGAGAAAGGATAGCTCGGATCCATTTTAATTCTTCGAGAGCGGCATCGTCGATCTTACGGACTGCGTGACGTCGGAGCGGCGTTGTCATGGCTTGTAATCGCTGGAAAAACGATCGAGCAGGCGGACAGCACGTCATGACGTGGCGCAGGCAGCCCAACAGTTTTAATAGTGTTGTTTTTGAGGCGGTACCAGCACCTATGACGCCAGAGACAATCAGTTGGGCCTTTTCGATCTTCGCTACTGGGATGGTGACTTCGCCTGTGCTGGTATCCCACTCGAGGCCCAACGCTCTGCATCGCTCACTCCATGTCGTGCATTTGCGTACAATGATGGCTGCGGGCCCTAATACTGTAGCCATTGCTCTTCGTAGAGCTAGATTGGCCACAAAACAGCGTAGTCCTTCGTCCACCTCTGCGCAAGTATGGTCATCGCACCAGAATGATCCCACTAGTGGTGTCTCAAGGCGTACTAAAGGAAGTCCACGCTCATACAACCCGTTAATTAGCGCGCCGGGAAGATAGTATAATGTCGGGGATCCACACCAGCCAAACCCGCATGACAAGTCGATGATAAGGAGACCATCGATCACACATGCAAACATATGCACGTGATCGGCATGGATAGGCACGTGCCTAAAGGCCCCTGCAACATCACCGGGCATTACCGGATCCGTGCGTTCAGGAAGCTCGACTTCAAGACATGTATCCTCATGGCGATATCCCGAGGCGGATTATAGCTGACGTCGGGAAGGTTGGCACGATCCGTGAAGTCATTGACTGAACCTCCGTCTGGAAAGGAGTAGTCGTCGATGATGCGAATATTTGGGGCCATCCGCTCCTGTTTTATCAACTACTCCCACAGGCGATACGAAGACTTCCTGCCACTGCTTCAGAAGCGTCTCCTTCAATATCAGATACCTGCCATCTTTCTGTCCGATGACTCCAGACTTGCGGAAGATGGTCGTAAGTTGAGTTGTGATTGTTTGGCCGGCCCTTTTGTCGAGCCGGTCGGTGCGACAGCCACTCAGGAACAATTCCTTGCCTCACCACGTCGTTCCAGCGTCGAAACGTATCGACTAAACTGGAATTCGGTGGTTGGGCTAACTGAAACAAGCTCTTGTTCGGCCTCGGGTCGGCATCGGTCTGTCCTCGAACAAGCCGTACAAAGTCAGGGAGTGTCATTTCCGCCGCGAGTGCCAATTGCGTTAGGAACTCAACCTTGCCCATATTTACGGTGTCATCGATATCCCACTCTGGTGGACTTGGAGCTCCCACTTTGGCAGCCACTGCAGCGATATTGTGCTCGGTCTCAGCTCGACATTGGTCACTAACACGTTTTAAAGTCTCCATATATTTCTTGTGATTCTCTGAAAGGTGCTTTCGTAAGTCCTTTGACGGAGACTTCTCTTCAGATCCTCTACCACCTACTGTCTCTATCGATGGAGGACCCAAGCTGGAACCAATACTTAACTGTGGAGCTGGGACCCCTTCACTTCACAGGTCCGCGAACTCGGGCGCCAAACCTCCGAAATTCTTGATAATGTGCTGCTTCACAGGTTCAGGCAGCGTCTTAGGTCGGAAATGATCCCGCTTAGTGGAGAAACACTTGCCTGATGTCCCGTCAGAGATTCCTGAACATCCTTCCTTGGACAAATACTTCATGCAGAGGTTCAAGGCTCCTTGCTTTGGCATGAGCCGCAGTACATCTTTCGGTATCCCTCTTGTTCTCGCTTGACGCGTTTCCCGACTGCCTGAGTAAGGCTGCGCGTTGCTCGTAGGGGATAACCGCCAGTTGCGCCTTGAGCGTGGCTATCATCGTCTTCTGCTCATCGTACAGGAGCTCGGCTAGCAGGGGGTCATGGAGCGACAGCTCGTCCTTTATTCGCATCGCCGAGGTCAGGCCTTCGACCAATACCAATCCTCGAAATTGACACAACTTTGCGTCAATCCAGAATACCAGGCATTTTGTTGTACCGCCGTCAGGCATAGTATTACCAAAGCTCTCTACGAAGCGCTCAATCGCGCGAATGAAGTCCACTGTACTCTCGTTGTAAAAGCCGCCTCCAAACTGGCGAAGGTTTCTCAATGCTTCCTTTAGGTTCTCGTAAGATGGGTCCTTCGTAGCCGGCTGGATACAATTCTTTCGAGAGAAGACCGTCATGTTCACTGACGGCACTTCGCCCTTCATCAAAGCCGACCGAGAAGGTCCTAAAAAAATGCATTATCGACAGTCCCCGAATGCGAAACCCATAATCATATGCGCCTCGAAGCACTGGTGGCGTCCACAGCCGCAGTTTGGCACCACGGGCCTGCTGTTCGTATTCAAGAATGCGTTGTGAATCCTTACCTTGATGATCTGGGTGGCCAATTTTGTCGTAGATGTCCTTTTCAATCGTCGTTGGGCGAAATGTCGCTGTCGTGTTCGAGCGCATCTCGTCGACTGCATATGCACCGAGCTCTGCAAAACGGATTGGTCCTCCTCCGATGGCGTTCAATATGTGATTTTGGCGTTGCACTTCCCGCTTATCCTGGTCGTCCTCCTCATCAGGTGTCTGCATCATTGCCGGCTCTGCATCCGAGTCACTGCCTTCTAACCCAACCATACGTTGGCGTCTCAGAGGTCGTCGGCTTTCATGGACGGACTCCCCGGTAGCAGCTTTCCGTTTTGTTCCCTTGGTAGGAGCGACGTCCCCAGGATGTACGAACATACTCGCGCCGCGTTTATTTCTTCTTTAAGCGCACACTCAACTATGTGGCGCCTCGGAACGGATATTACGGCGAGCGTGTCTGGCCGAATCACGGGTGCTATCGCCTCGGTCTCGTACTGCACCGTTAAACCGTTCAAGACCTTTGCAGATAGGCCCACGCGGCTCTTCGTACACAATGCTCGAACCTCTTCCCGTTTTGCAGGTAATTCCGCCGCGTTCATCGCTGCCAAGCTGGAACCGCCTTCTACTTGAAGGATCCACTCGACCTTTACGACGTTAGCGGGCTGTTGCAGGGCCAACTTGCGCGCGCCAGCAACGTAGCGAAGATGAAGGACTGCGTCTGCATTCATGTGGTACCCCACGACTATCGCATAAGCCCATGTGTCCATCTTAATGCCGTCCGGCTGGATGAATGCGACAGGATTACCTACGTAGGAGCCCGGCAGCAGCTTTCCCTCGTCATCGCTGACCCTTCGCTTCTTCACCACATCCAGATCAATAGGTTCTAGCGCCTCTCCGTCAGACGGCCCACCAGGATCCACGATGTTGACGTGCACTTGAGCGCCGTCGACACGGTCTACTTACACATATTGAAACACACTCATAGATGCCGCGTGCGGTATCCCCAGGAACGCCAGAGACCCCTTCGTTATCGTGGACGTTTTCATTATCAGCGCGCGAGCGAGCAAAATTGCAAGTGAGCGGCACGTTACCTACGACTAACTACTTCTTCCGTGTTGGTTCTCATAGTCGATCGCGTCTTCTGATTTCTGGGAGAGGTGACTTGCCACCCGGAAAATCCGATATCCGTGCGGATACCTTGTCCTTCCCACACATCCATACTTCACTCTGGAATAGCCTAGACTTCTTAACACTCAGCTTAAAACTGAAGTTATCTAGTAGCTCGAATAGCCTCGCCAACTTTACCAAGTAGGTACGGATGTCGTCCGCGAACAACAACAAAATATCTACCCAAACCAGGAGATGACGGTGGAGAAGCTCCTCGAGACACTTCTCAATTGTAGATTGGAAGAGCAGCGCAGCATCTGTAGATCCTTGCGGAACGCGCCTCAGTGTGTACAGTTTCTGATGCGTCATGTATGATAGCGTCTCTTGACGTTCTTCTGCAAGTGCTATTTGCCAATAGCCTTTGATGAAGTCAAATATTCCAAACAACTTGGCTCCTTCGACTGCTTCCAAGTCCGTCTGTAGGTCAGGCATGATTTTGACTATTGCTTCTACTAGTGTGTTCATAGGTTTGTAGTCTGCTGTTTACCGGAAATCACCACCACTTTTACGTACTAGTAGTGCTGGACATGCCCACCTGCTCTCACGATTTTCATAAACCCATCCTAACTCCACTAGTTTGTTGTTGAAGGTCTCCATGAAGCGACGGACTTCTGGTGGATATTTCCTTGCTTTACATCTGTATGGTTTTGCACCAGGTTTGAGGCGAATCCGCATTGGAGGCACGTTAGCAGGGGGGGGGTCTGCACCCAAGCGAGTTCTCCACAAGTCGAAGCGCAATGTAATGCGGGTAAGTCCCTTCTCGAACTTCCGAGGGAATTCATCCGCCTCTGCCCTCCTAACCAAATCCAATATGCCATCGTTAACGTCTTCTTCATGCTGTACTGCATTCCCAATCACATATTCATCTGCATCATCGAATTTGTCTTCGTTCTCGTCGGCTTCAAGTGGCACCGCCAATAGGTCCAGCTGCCTCTCAACATCGATTCCTAGCATGAGCAACAAGTCGTTGCCCACTAAGAATTCTCCGGAGTCGCCGGGAATGATAAGACACTCAACCGGCTTATCAACATGGACACTCCCAGAAATGGTTCGCAACCTCACATTCAGTTTTCCAGTCCAATTTACACAAACGGATGTGCAATCGGCCATCGTGTACGTTAAAGGTTCATCCAGCTTGACACGCACGATGTCCGGTTTCACATTTACCAATCGATCAAAACAGCTCTCATCTAAACAGCATCGATCTGCTTCACTGTCAATGCAAAGGGGGATCACCACCTCATCTTCCAGTACAACAACTCGATCCTGCTTAAGAAAGTATTCTCCAATTCGTTTCAGTTTAGCGGTGCCTCCCTTGAGTGTCTGAATTTCCTGTGCTGTCTTTTTTCGATCCGCAAGCAGTTTTTCACGCTCAGCTGGGGTAGCCTTGGAGCATTTGCACAGATAGTGTGCGCCACCACAATGAAAACACCCGTCTTTTGGCGCTCCTTTGGTGACAGCACGGCCAGACCGACCACCTTTCTGCTGGGACCGCTCTGTGTCCTTCTCTTGCTTCGCTTTCTTAACCGTCCGGTTATCCTTCTGCTCACTACGTCGTTTAGGCTGCTGGTGACCCGCCGGGGCATTGTGTTCTTTCCGTTGGTGCTTATTGAACGATGAATTCGATTTCTTTAACGCTCGCTCTTCAATTGCTTGCTCCTGCGCTTTGACCCGGATGAGCTCGTACAATTTACGGATATCGCCCTTCGCTTCCGGAACACGGTACACAAGCTCATTCTGAACCTTGCTCTTCAACCCTTTAGGAAGCAAGTTGAGAATGAGCTTGCATTTCTCTTTGATACCTCGATCTTCCTCAAAGAAACCTGAAAACCCGTGTTTTTTATCAACGAGTGACATAGGTGAAAGTTCAATTACTCTCGCGTCGATGTCTGTGTTGTTCATGTTCATGTGCAACTCCTCGCGAAACGGTTCCTTCACGTCAGGTAACGCTTGGTTTTGGAAGCTGTCGGTTACTTCGTAAATCTTCTCTAGCAGAAAGTCATCGGTTATACTACTCTGATCCAAGCCCCCAACACACTTCGCACAAAGTATTTAACACGTTGGCGTCAAAGAACGCTTGAAGCTCTTCATCACTGCAGAAACATCTTCTTTTCCGTCATTGCAGCGGTCTCAAATGTACTCCTCGTACTCCTTTCTCAGTTTAAGCCACTCCACCAGCGCTTCTCACGCCATGGAGGACACCCTGGGTGGGTTCACAATCGCGAAGATGGGATGTGGCACTCGCGCGGCCTGGTCGCTCGCCGTCGATTCCAGCCGTGAGTCTTCTCCTTGCCCCAGGCTGCTTCCGATTCGCTCGTCCGTTGATAGGAAAGTCTTCTGGTCCCCACCACTGTTTTTCGGTGTCGTCGTCATGCTTCTTCTCGTTCAGTCGGTCTTGATCAACCCGCAGCTAAATATATCTTTGTAGTAGGTTTCGGATCACTACAAAGGAAGCTGGCGCTTCCAGGCAAATCAAAGCTCTGTTGTTGGTTCTTAGTTAGATGTCTAAGTCATCTCAGCGGCCGCTCGGTTGGCTGCGTTGGTTTCGTAGCCTATATCCTATTGTTCTTATTCTGTGTCAGCTCGACGATGTCTACCAATCAGCGTCGTCCGGTGAATGGGCAAGGCTTGATCTGTTAAGCCACCACTACAGAAGCCTAGCCGTCTCCTTCACGACAAATGTAAAAGATCGTCGAGCCGAAGTGGAGCGTGCTGCGGCTTCTACATCTGCTAGACTGCAAGAAAAGTCAAGCATTTTAACGATGCTAAGTGATATACGTCGACAGCTAGCAGAGGTCGACCAAAAGCTGGTCAACGCTGACGGTGAACCAGTCGAGATGCCAAAATAGGATCGTGACCTACTCTTCATGACCGTAATGGTTTGATAAGTAAACTGCCCTCGTTGTGGGTATCACGAGTGAAAACATGTAGGCGAATGGTTGAAAGAAGCAAAGCTTTCACTTGAGGCTTTAAGAATAAAGAATTATGCATTGAAGATTAAAAAGTCAATCTTTTCTTTTAAAAAGTCATTCTGCTTATGCGAGAGCGACATAAAAAAACTTGTGCCGAAAACGTCCCGCTGTAGCTCTTAACACACCATGTGTAACGGGGTACGTAGCCCTAAGTGTACCCTGGTTACATGAAGTGTGACACTTCACACTTCAGGAGTATGACACGTCATACTCCGGGATATTTGGTACAAGGTACCAAGGTCGTTTAAAGCCAACCATTGGTTAAATGACATTGCATTTCTATAGGTAACTAATAGTTTGTATTAAACCCAAACTTAACCTACCTATAAATATACTCAGTTTACAATCTAGCTTATTTAGGTCACTTCGCTCTCTTTAATTAAAGAGGGGACCTGTGAACTGCCGTTCACTGAGAGTTTGTATACTCTCGGAAGATAACTTCCTCTAGCGCAAGGTGCTGTGTGACCCCGTCACACTTGGTAGCACTAGTAGTCAGTCCACGCCACCGCGGGTCGACTACCTGAACCTCTCCGAAGTTCGTTGCCATGGATAGGAACGACTTCTCCCATTTGAACGACTCTCAGTTCGAGTCGGTTCGGAAGATGGCAGGCATCTTTGAGATGGAGGCCCTGCAGAGCCTGGTGGTGTCAACACCGGCTGAGCAGCTCGAGCGCGTCAATGCATTTGACGCGTACGAGCAGGGCCTCATCGCGCATGTGCGGGAGAACCTGTAGGCTCCGGCGGCGGAAGCAAATCCGCCTCACCCGAAGCCAATACGGCTGAAGGTTAAGCCGTATGAAGGGAAGGAAGGCGAGAACCTTTACTTCTGGTTCCGAAAAGTAGAGCGCGCGATGGACGCGGCTCTGATCTCGACCGAGCTTCTTCGTGTTGCTTTTGCACTCTCCAACCTTAGCGGTCGTGCAAAGAGTTGGGTGTGCACACGGGAGGCAACATCCCCTGGATATTTCACATCCTGGGCTCAGCTGTGCGAACAGCTCCGAGCCGCGTTCCTCCCGGCGAACTACGAGTACCGCCAGCGTTCGCGCTTCCTCGCGTGTAAACAAGGAAGGCGCGAACTGCACGAGTATGTGCAAGAGATACGAGAGCTCACGGCGTCCCTAGTGGGAAACCCACTCAACGAACACATCAAGATGACTGTGCTCATGGACGGCCTTTGAGTGGGCCCCGCACGCACTCAGCTGTTCCGGGTGCCGTTAAACACCCTTGAAGAGGCGATCC